GCTTATCCTGCACAGCATCAGCTACAAGCTGAAAAAAGCAGGATATGATGTGCAAGGTGTAGTAGACGGTCAACAAGCCAAAGACTTTTTCCAGTCCGAAACACCAGATATGGTCATCACCGATATACTCATGCCCTTTGTAACCGGGCCAGAGTTCATTCATTTCATTAGGGAGGAGCAGCAGAGTAAGGTACCAATCATGGTGCTTTCTCAGGTAGGCGTGGAAAGGGACAAGGTCAAATGTTTTGATTTGGGAGCAGACGATTATATGACCAAGCCCTTTCTTCCTGCCGAGCTGGTGGCCCGTGTGAAAAGATTTGAACGTCTGAGTCAGGCCGGATGAAAACAGGCATCTTTTTTATAGTGTTATTAGCATGGGGTACAACTCATGCGCAGTCTTCCAATTGGGCTGACTCACTGCAGCATCACTTGGAACATAAGGGCTACTTCTACACCAAAAACTGGAGCCAAAGCCAGGCACCTGCCGTGCAAAACCAACTGAAACCGCTATTTACCCCTATAGCCATAACTCATCTGAATGATGGTGTTTCCTTTCGTCAGCAAACCGACCGGGTAGATGACAACCAAACCTGGAGTGAAACTCAGGTGGGTCTTACTTTAAAAAGAAAGAAACACACAGCCGTATTTTCCGGCTACCGGGCCACCCGTTTCGGGCAAAACAGCCACCAATTTGATTGGGACCATTATTGGGTAGCCCATCCCAAATTCTACTTCAATCTCAATGCTTCCGTGAGTGATGCGGTGCTCTTTCCCGCCTGGAAAGGAGCCGCCACCTGGAGCTATACCGGTTTTGAAAAAAAAGAAATAGCCCTGGCGTATCGCTATCACGCCTTTCCTGGCAACCCGGTGCACATGATAGGTTTGTCCGCCACCTGGTACGTTAACGACCTGTATGCCTTCGTACACTATTTTAACGTGCGGACCACTTCCGGCAGTAGCAACGCCCTTTTATTCAGGCTGCGCCAGTACCTTCACAACCAGCGGGGGTATTTTATGCTCAACGGAGCCTTTGGCGCAGAGGTAGACCGGTCCAGGATTTCCGGGCAGTTATTAACCTCCAACCGCATCGGAGGAGGTTTTCACTACCGCCTGTCTCCGCTCTTTTCAGCCGAAGTAGTATTAGCAGCCGAAAAGCAGGCCCTGAGTGAAGACCTTAGCCGTAACCTGCTTTCGACCAACTTTAGTGTGACCTATCATTTTCAAAGGACCAAACGGAAATGAGCCTTACACCCGCCTATATCACTCTTCTCAGCACCCAGGTAGCCCCCGTGCGGGAAACGGCTGAGCGCCTCAGCGATATGCGGGATAAGAATATTACCCATATGGTAGAGGAAGAAACGCTATTGTTATGGATCACCGGTATCGTAATCGGTCTGTTTGCAATGGCGCTTCTTTTCTTCCTCGCCACTTTGGTGAGCCGTAAGATCAAGAACATCAAAATGGCCCGGGTAGAAGTGCTCGATCAAAAATACCTGCAATTCCTTTCCGAACTGATCAGTGGAGAGGCAGCCAATCCTATGCACGGGCTATTAGGATTGCAATCCGAAACTACGCTGAGCCTGGATAAGGATGATATTGCCAAAGCCCTGCCCCGTGAAGTTTTAAAAACCAACTTATTGGAATTACACCGCCACCTGGCCGGGGAAGAAAAAGGCAAGCTGCGTGAAGTATACCTGATGTGGGGCTACGCCAAAGAAGCCCTGAAAGATCTGAACGCTAAGCAATACGAGCGTAGAGTAGCCGCCATAGGGGAACTAGCCCAAATGGATATCCGTGATGCCTACCAGGATATATTCGAACTGATTAATGATAAAACTGAAGTAGTACGGGATAAGGCCATTAAAGCCCGTGCCCAACTGGATGTGGCACCCCTCAGTATGCTCAGCGAGCTGGAACATTCCCTCTCGCCCTGGCAGCAAACTTTTATTTACAATGCCCTGGTGCACTTTCACAGCGAAAACCTGCCTTCCCTGCAAAAATACCTGGATGCGGAAAGGGAAGATATCGTACTCTTTTCCATGACGTTGGCCGGTAAGTTTTACCAGACGGATTGTGTAGATATCCTATTGGCCAAATTAGAGGAAGAAAGCCGGGATATCCGTTACCGCGCTATTGAAGTGCTGGGGCAATTTCCTTCACCTGTAGTGAAAGAAAAACTACAGCTCCATTTTGACGGGGCAACCGAAGCCGGGGAACAGCATCAGGTGTTAAAAGCCCTGGAATCCATGTTAAACACAGAAGATACTGATTGGCTCTTTGCATTACTGTCAGCTGATGATCGTGACCTGGTGATCACCGCAGCCCGCTTTTTACAAACCATTAACGAAAACGCAGACCTGGCACTGGCTATTTCTCCTGAAAAGGAGGAGTGGCTCCAACATGCCCTGGATGCCTCAATACATCAATTATGATCTGGAATATCTTAAATTACATAGTCGATTTTTTTGAACTGGGCGTATTCTTTTACTGCAACGGTATTTTATTGTCGTACTGGATCATCAGTATAGTGTCCTTTAAGGAAGTAAAAAAATACCGTAAGGATACCCAAAACGAGCATTTTGACGAGCTGTTGTCTTCACCCTTCCTGCCTTCCATTTCCATCATTGCCCCAGCTTATAATGAGTCGGTGACCATTGTGGACAATATCCGTAGCCTATTATCCCTGCACTACAGCAAACTCGCGGTAATCGTAGTGAATGATGGCTCCAAAGATGAAACCCTGCAAACCGCCATTGATGCTTATGACCTGGAAAAGGTGAACTGGGCTTACGATATGAAAGTAAAAACCAAAAACGTACGTGGCATCTATAAGTCCAAAAACCCCTCTTTTTCCAAACTCATTTTTGTAGATAAGGAGAATGGGGGCAAGGCCGATGCCATCAATGTAGGGGTGAACGTGAGTAGTTCGCAGTATTTTGCCTGTATTGATGTGGACTGCATCATAGAACAAGATGCTTTTTTAAAGTTGGTACGTCCCATTATGCGGAATACCAAAGAACGCATCGTAGCTGTGGGGGGTATCGTTTGGCTCACTAATGATTCTGAAGTGAAACAAGGCAAACTCATCGACCTGAAGATGCCCCGGCAATTTATTCCCCGCATGCAGGTACTGGAATATTTCCGGGCCTTTTTACTGGGCCGTACCGCCTGGAGCAAGTTCAATGGGCTACTGCTCATCTCCGGTGCCTTCGGCATTTTTGACCGGGAGATCGTTCTCGAAGCCGGAGGCTATCGCCATGATACGGTAGGAGAAGATATGGAACTGGTGATGCGTATGCACGCCCTGATGCGCGAGCGTAAGGAAGCGTACCGTGTAGCTTATATCCCTGACCCATTATGCTGGACCGAAGCCCCGGGAGATTACAAGATCCTGGGCCGTCAGCGTAACCGCTGGACGCGTGGTACCATTGAATGCCTCCTTTTTCACAAAAAGATGTTCTTTAATAAAAAGTTCGGGGCTCTCGGCTGGTTGAGTTACCCTTATTGGTTGTTTGCCGAGTGGTTGGCGCCCCACGTAGAGTTCTTTGGCCTGATCTTTTTCTTCCTGATGGCATTATTTGGTTTCGCCAACTGGCATTTCTTCTTTTATATGATCTTCCTGGTGTACGCCATGGCCTTGTCCATCAGCGCCTTTGCCATCTTCACCCAGGAGCGTACCTATGGCAGCTATACCCGTATTAGCGATCTGCTGAAGATCTTTGGTACCGCGGCTGTGGAAGCCTTTACCTACCACCCCCGTACGGTAAAATGGTCGCTCAAAGGCAACTGGCATTTCTTTACCGGTAAAAACAACGGTTGGGGCGAAATGACACGGGCCGGTTTTCAAAAGAAGGAGTAACAATTTTCAAAACCTTCCAGGTTTTCACCATACTGAAGAGAAACCTGTGATTTCGAAGTATCGAAGACTGACTAACGAAACATACTTAGAGATATAAATTTTGAATCACAGCTACAGAATGTACAGGATAATGTACGTTTCATATCATTGCTCAAATTTCAAGGCCATGGAAATTACCAGTTTGACTGATTTCAGAAAAAACATGCGGGCATACTTTGATAAGATCTTACAATCAGGCAAGCCTTTATTTATTACCCGGCCCAAGGGTGAGGATGTCGTAATTTTGAGTAAGGCCGAATACAACAGTATGCAGGAAACCTTCCATCTCTTGCGCAGTCCAAAGAATGCCAAACGCCTTTTACAAGCTATAGAAAACGATAAGAAAGGGGGCGGTACCACACGGGAACTTTCCGATCTATGACGGTGATCTTTATGGATCAGGCCTGGGAGGACTATTTGTATTGGCAGCAGTATGATAAAAAAGTCCTGAAGAAGATCAATCATCTGATCAAGGATATTGCCCGTAACGTCTACGAGGGCCTGGGGTCTCTCGAACCTTTAAAACACGATTTATCCGGGTATTGGTTCAGGCGCATTACATTAGAACATCGCTTAGTATATCGGGTAGTGGAGGGTGAGATCAGAATTATGCAGTGTAGGTATCATTATTAGAAGGTTTGTTCCGGTTTATAGTTATCAATGTTCCTCTTCGATACTTTCCAATCCTTTACACGAGGGATAGAAAAACTTAAGCCGATATGGGTTTGTATACATAAAGGCTGCCTGACAGTCTGAGTAACGTATTGAAGACTGACCTATCCACTTTTACTCTTTGCCCCGGCTGGGTTTCGATACACCCGAAGTAAGTTCAGGTCACCCGACCTAATAGCCTTGGCCTTCGGAGTAAATGCTTCTCTCTCTCAAGCCATACTTTGGTTTCAATGTGTGTTTCAGGAAAGATTAAAAACCCCTTTGTTTAAACCTTGATGGTTATTTAGGACTAGTCACAGGAGGAGTTACACTGAGCTTGTCGAAGGGCCAAACTCCGAAACATCCCCCCCAAACTCCTAAAACTTCCCAACTCCCCCTCCTATCTGCGATTTATTTGCTTCATCAATTAAAAACAAATAAACAAAACGATATGTGTGGAATAGTTGGATACCTCGGAACCAAAGAAGCGTACCCCATTTTAGTGAATGGCCTTAAGCGCCTTGAATATCGCGGCTACGATAGTGCCGGTATTGCCCTTCTGAACGAAGAAACTTTAAACATTTATAAGCAAAAGGGGAAAGTGGCCGAACTGGAAGCCCTTTGCGAAAAACAAGATAAAACCGGTCATATCGGCATCGGACACACCCGCTGGGCTACCCACGGTGAAGCCAACCAGGTGAACGCCCACCCGCATACCACCGAATACGGTAACCTGGCCATGGTGCACAACGGCATCATTGAGAATTACAGCACTCTGAAAACCGAATTACGTATGCGCGGTCATCACTTTCAGAGTGAAACCGATAGCGAAGTACTCATTCATCTCATCGAAGAGATCCAGAAAAAAGGTGATTTTTCTTTGGAAGATGCAGTGCGACTGGCCCTTAAGAAAGTAGTGGGTGCGTACGCCATTGTGGTAATGTCGAAAAACGACCCTGAAAAACTAGTAGCCGCAAAAAAGAGCAGCCCGTTGGCTTTGGGATTGAAAAAAGGCGAATTTTTCATAGGTAGTGATGTAACGCCTTTCCTGAATCACACCAATAAGGTAATCTATATGAAAGATCATGAGATTGCCACCGTACGGACCAATGGTGACCTGACCATCCGCACTATAGAGAATGAACCCATACACCCTTTCATAGAAGAATTGAGCCTGAACCTCGATACCCTTGAAAAAGGTGAGTTTGATCATTATATGCTCAAGGAGATCTATGAGCAGCCCGATGCCCTTACCAATTGCCTGAGAGGCCGCCTGAACCGTGAGGAATTGACCTTAGAACTACAGGCTGTAAAAGAACACGGAGCCGTATTTCAAAATGCCAACCGTATCATCATTGTCAGTTGTGGAACCTCTTGGCATTCCGGTTTAGTAGGCGAATACTGGTTGGAAGAACTGGCCGGCATTCCCGTAGAAGTAGAATACGCCTCCGAGTTCCGTTACCGCGAGCCTATCATTCGCCCCAATGATGTAGTGATCGCCATTTCCCAATCCGGGGAAACAGCCGACACCCTGGCCGCCATAGAACTGGCCAAGAGCAAAGGCGCCTTTGTTTTCGGGGTATGCAACGTAGTAGGTTCTGCCATTGCCCGCGAGGCCAATGCTGGAATGTACACCCATGCCGGACCGGAGATAGGGGTAGCTTCCACCAAGGCCTTCACCACTCAATTGCTTTGCCTGTATATGCTGGCCGTAGAATTGGGCCGACTGAATAACCGCATCAGCAACACCCAATACTGGGATCACCTGAGTGAGTTGGTATTGCTCGAACAGAAGATCGAAGAAACCCTGGAACTCAATGAAGAAATAGCCTCCCTTTCCGAGTACTTTATGGGCAGCACCAATTTTATGTACCTGGGCCGTGGCTATAACTTCCCGGTAGCCCTGGAAGGAGCTCTTAAGCTCAAAGAGATCAGCTACATCCATGCCGAAGGCTACCCCGCTGCCGAAATGAAGCACGGTCCGATTGCCCTGGTAGATGAGCAAATGCCCTGCCTGGTACTCGCCAATACGGATAAGGGTTATGACAAAGTGATCAGCAATATGCAGGAGATCAAAGCCCGTAAGGGTTATGTAGTAGCGGTGGCCTTTAAAGGCGACCATAAGGTGAAGGAGATAGCCGATAAGGTGATCTATATCCCTCGCACCAATGAGCAGCTTTCAGCGGTGGTAGCTACCATTCCTTTACAATTACTGGCCTACCATATTGCCACGCTCAAAGGCTGTGATGTGGATCAACCCCGTAATCTCGCTAAATCTGTAACGGTAGAATAATACACCGGAGTGGGAGGGTGTCATCCTGAGTGCCCCGAATCCCGAGAACTCGGGATGGGATGTATCGAAGGATGGCTCCACAAAACGATGAGTACCCACTTCCCATTCAATTTTTTAAAGAACCTCAAATACGTAAATACCATGAAAAAATCCATTTACTTTCTGACCCTATCCCTGAGCCTGTTTCTCGATATACACGCTCAGACGTACAACTACCTCGGTTCCTTTCAAACGGACGGAACTCCGAATTACCTGGATGGCCGGGACGTAGTATCACCCCACCTGGTGGCTCGTGTAGATGCCAGTTTACCGGAAGGTTATCCCGTGCCCGTCTACAACCCACAATACATCACTACCGGTACACAAACTGACATTATCTTACAAGATACAGCGGATGTATGGGTGAGCTTTGTAGCAGAAGGAGCCGGATACCGCAATGTGCTGGGTTATTATACGTATAACATTAACAATCCGCCTCAGACGGCTCCACAGCCACAGGATATTACCATTGTCTTTCCCAATGTATCTGCTTTGTATAGTGGTGGAGGTTTACAACTGGGCGACCGGGTGAACATCGGGCGTTTTCCGCCCAATACCGGCATTGGCTGGGTATTACTGGCCAATGGCTATCAAAACGGTAGTGTTACTTCGGGTTTGTGGACCTTATTTTCCAATCCTGCTTTTAACCCTGAGGCAAACCCTGCTCTGCAATATCACAACGTATTGCTCAACGATACCGACCACCAATTGGTAGTGCTTGGCTTTGAAGATATTCGCAGAGATTACGGCAGCTGTGATAATGATTTTAACGATGCACTATTTTACGTGAAGTCCAACCCGGTAGAAGCTATTATAACCCAGGGGATACCTCCTATTACTGAAGCCGGGCAGGGTGTGTCCAGCGGTAATAACGGTGGTTTGGAAAGTCATGGCGGTTTATCGCAATTGATCGGGCAGCGGAATCTTATAAGACAGCAAACGAACCATAGTGTGGAGTCTTTCCGTGCCCCGGAATTTGAACTGGACCATTATAAGGAAATGCATGCGGCCCCTCGTACCCACATGGGCAAAAAAGCGAGCCTTGCTTTAGTGGATATGGCTCCGGAAAACCTGATGGTCAGTACTTCTTCCTACGTTTCTTCTCCGGAAGATTTGTTGGGGATCACTAATGCCGAGGAAGTGGTTTCCGTAGACTACTTTAAAGAAGATCAACGCGTAGCAGCCTTTTTAGGTACGGTAACCAGCAATGGGGTGTACGATCATACTAAGACCATTTGTGATCGCCTGACCGGGGCAGAGTTGTTGGGCATTTGCATTAAAAGCATAGCCGGGCACCCGTTTTTACAAAGTACCATTAAGCGTTCCTCAGGTTTGGTGGAATACGCTATTTCTTTTTCCCTTATTGAAAGGGACGGGGCCTTACTCTTGGAAAGTTTCTGGAACCTGGATGAGTACAGTACGGGTACAAAAGCTATCAACGTACAGGTGTGGTCGCAGTCACCTGCTTATATACAGGAGATGATCACCAAAACCCTGGAAGGCGTAAAAGCGATCACCAGTATTAGTCAGCCTGTGCTACCGGTGGAACCAGCTTTATACATAGAAAAAGCGCGTTATAGCCAAGGCTTTATCACGATGAATATTAAAAATACAATAGGTGCGCAGAGCATGGAAGTACAAGGCTCAACCACCCTTTCCGAAACCGGTGGTCGTACGACTTTTAATGAAAGTGTGGCCTTATCCGGCAGCGAAGAGCAGATGTTGGAATTGGAAACCGGCTACCTCTTTGATGCGGGGCTCACCTTTACGGTAGATGGTTCCCCAACCGATTTCATTTACCAGGCCGATGGCAATTGGGGTCTGGATTTTCAAGCGGATCGCACCACTGTATCGCAATTTGAGGTGGAAGGGGAAACCGGTTTTACCCTGGAAGAGGATGCCCTTACTTTAGAACGTTCTATCCGCCTGGCGGCTGTTACCGATGATTATATTTCGGTATACCGGTTCTTCCGCCCCGGAGCGGAACCCATGGATATTTCGGCTTATTACAGCATGCAACTGGATTATAGCGGAAGTGATCAACTGCGGATCACGCTGATGCTTCAGGATACGGATTGGAAAGACTATCCTGCGGTAGTCGTGAACGCCAAGCAAAGAGAATTTGCCCTGGAAGAATTTACGGGCTACGATCCAGACAAAGCAGTGGGCCTCATCTTCACACCAGTCAGTGCTGAGGCGAATATTAACCTGAATATTGCCCAGGTGAGTCTGTCCAAAACCAAAGTAGCGAGCGGCCTATTGGCAAAAAATACGGTTACCGCTTATCCCAACCCCGCCTGTGCTCAGGTCTGGTTTGCGGGTAACGTGAATAACCATTCTACTATCAGAATGTACAATCTGGCCGGAGGCTTGGTGTTGCAGCACAACTGGACGGGTACCCCTATACCTGTAGCCACCTTACCTGCCGGGGTATATATCGCAGAAGTACAAACCCAAGAGACCCTGGAACAAATTAAGATCGTGATTGAAAAGTAGTTTTGTTTGGTTAAGGTTGGTGGAGAAGCCTCGCTTAGTAGCGGGGCTTTTTTTATGGGATACCTTCATCAACTACTTCAGTTGTATCCTTGATCAAATAGGTTCAAAATAGGATTAAGCGCTTTGGCTACTAAATTCGTTTACCGCCCTCCATTTTGAAGTCAAAACACCTTTACTCAGCGTAACAGATCCTGTTAGCAGAGATCCATTTTCATAGCTCATATACCAAAAAGCAACCTGTGCATATTGTCTCGAACGGTAACCAGATTCCTCTACTTTAATCTTTATTAAAATCATTTAAAGGCAGGATGAACAGACTTATTCTCATGTAATGAATAAGGCCAAGGTCCTGAATTTCAATGCTGTGCGTATCAGGGGAAAAGTATGATTTCCCGGAACAAGTCACGCCTCAACGCTGCCTTTACTTTAGCCACAGATTTTAAATCTAAACCTGCCATCTCTGGACTATCAGGAATTGTACACACCTGATAAACGGTATACCACAAATGAAAGGCCTGATCTGCTTTTCCCAGGATGACAAAGCCGGTAGAAGGAATCTCTTCTCACCACACCTTGAGGAAGAGTGTGGCCTGAAGAGATCTCCCTGACACCCCTTCCTCGTTTCGGCAGTTGATCCTGCCCGACTAACATCCATGATCTGATAAGATAGAGCCTGTATGAACGGGTATCCAGGGGGATAGCTATGTCCGGAGGTCAACTGCTTTCACTGAGTAAAAATTTCTAAAGAAAATACTATGAAAGCATATATTTTAAAAATATCGTTGGGTCTGATAGGTTTGATAGCCTTCCTTTCCAGCTGTGAAAATTCTCATTTTGAAAAAGATACTTTTTTGGAGAAAAAAGGCGGTGAAGATACCGATACCCCAATAATGGTGGGGCTGGGATTAGATGCACAGGAAGATCCTCTGTATCCTGCTTCGGTAGAACTGTATAAGGTAAACGAAGCACCTATGATTGCGGATACCAACACGGATGTAAACGGAGGGTTTCAGTTTAACGTTGATACCGGTTATTACTATGTGAAGTTGTTCCAGAATGAGCAACTCCTCATCACCAGTGATACTGTTGAGGTGACAGACAGCACCTATTTTGTGGTCCAACTGTAGAGTTGGCAGGCCGGCAGCCTCAGGCTGCCGGTTTTATTTTAACTTTAATCTTAACCAGGGTACCTCCCTGGTTTTTGAATTGAATAGAACCTTTAAGCTGTTCTATAAACATTTTTACCAGTCCAAGGCCTTTATCACTTTCTGTTTGGGTAGTATCTTCTTTTATACCGGGACCGTTGTCTGCGATAGTTACGAAAAGTATCTCTCCATCTTTACTTGTACTTATTTGTAATTTTGGTTTTACTTCATTGGATAAACCATATTTGAAAGCATTGGTAACGATTTCATTAATAGCAAGCCCTAAAGGAGTTATTTCATCAGCATCCATCACTACGTTATCTAACTTCCAGTAAATTTCAGCATGCGGCACATGCTCCTTAAAGCTTCTTTGAATCTGGCTTACTAATTGTTTCAGGTAAACAGAGAGGTTGATGGTCTTATCATCGGAATTCTCCAATATTCTATGTATAGTTACCATGGCATTCAATCGATTCTGAGCTTGCCGAATAGCTGCTAATGCCCGGGGATCATCTATGTTTCTTAGCTGAAATTTAAATAGGCTGACCAGGGTTTGGAGAAAATTTTTGGTGCGATGCAAAACTTCAGTTTTGCGCGCTTGTTCCAGGCGGATAAGTTTTTGCTGCAGGTGAACATTCTTTCGGCTTTGAATAAAGGCAAAAACAAAAATACCAAGAGTAGAAAAAAGCAATAAAGCTATAGCCAGGTAGGCATGCTTTGCACTTTGTTCTTTTTGGGCCAAAAGACGGCTAATCTCATTTTCCCGGCTTAGTTTAGTAATGGCCGTCTGTAATTCCAGCAATCCCAATTCAGCCGTTTTTTGTTCAATAATTTCCTGCCGCTCGCGGCTATAATACCGCTCTTTTAGTTCGGATAAGCCTTTCAGAAAAAGGTAAGCCGTATCCAGATTTCCCTGGTTTTCGTACAGCTGCCATTGTAATTCAAAAGCTTTGAGCTGTATATCAAGGTACTCCTGCTGCCCGGCAATTTTAGCGGCCTCTTTTAAATAGCTTTTTGCCTTATCGTATTTTTCAAGCTCAACGTATAATCCACCCAACGAGTTTAAGGAATAGGCGAAAGCTTTAAGGTCGCCAGTGGCCTCGCGTAATTTGATGGATTTGAGATAGTATTCCTCAGCTTTACCGTAGTCTTCCATCATTTGATAAACCTCGGCCATGTTGCCAAAAGTAACGGGGTTAAAAGCGGAGTCTCCCACTACCATGGATTGCCGATAATACTTTAAGGCCTCCTCGTAGTCCAGCAATTG